TGTGTGTGTGTGTGTGTATATATATATATATATATATATATATATATATATATATATATATATATATATATATATATAAATAATCACTCTATATACACACACACACACACACACACACACACAAAACTTATACAACTTAAGGAACCATTATTATTAGGCCTTGACTACTATATCTAAATTATAATGTAAAGCGGTGTCTCTACATTCTCTACAATTTGTCAATGTTGTTGGGCTATGAAAACATTTATAAAATCAACTCAAAATCTTACTTCCATATTTCACCATATATGAGTTCAACTAAGCTAGGCTGCTGTTTGGGATGGTTACATATTTTACATAATTTAATACGCGTGTGTGATTGTTTGCCGAAACTCATTTTCAGTCATTCATTCAGTGTTAGATATGTCAATACTGATTAACAATATTTGACACGTTATTTTAGTATCTAACAGTGCCGACCCATATAGAGTGACAGACAAGAAAATATTAATGTACGCACATAAAAGCAAGACATTGCACCAAAACACTGATAAATACGTAAACATTTTCCTAATACTCAAAAACCAGTGATTCATTACCAGAGGCCTGACAGTAGCCAGGGTGGGGACATATGATAATTTACTAGAATAATAACCATTTATGAGAACAGAGACACTTTATATCATTATTTCAAAAAGTGTAACTTACAAATTTAGGTTTCTTCTCTCCGTCATCCCCACTTGAACTGCACTGAGACGACACTCCGACTCCAAATCCTTTCTTTCGATGGATTTTGTTTTCCCTCCCTTGAGTCGAGCCTTCATATCGCTGATGGCGGTAGTTATCCATGTCCAGGTGAAGATATATAACTATTTCTGCCAAGAACTAAGAGCTCATGATATCCCAAAATTGACCGTTGAAAGAGACGAGCGCGAGCTCGGATTAAGTTGGCGTTCTCTCGAGGGAACGTGTGCACGAGACGTACTGGTTGAGAGTTGACAGTGGTTGTTGTCTAATAAGGCGGTAATCCAATGGCCAGCTCTTTAGATCCCACTAACACCCCTTTTCAAACCACTAGACTGACGTAAGTGTTTAAAATACTCTCCAGTGCGACAAAATAGTCAATTTTTTAGATGTTTATAGGTTGTCCATTTTACTTAAAGAAGAGCGCTGACATGGAATACGAAGAAATGTTAACACGGATGTCCAGGAATCTGAAACTCCCGCCTCGAAAACAGCCAATGAAATGCGTCGGATTGAGCAGCACGTGATGTTCGAGTAAAGAATCTTCCACAGGAAAGAGTTTCATTTACTCTGCTGTTAGCTTCCGCATATGGTCACATGGTTAACACCCGCGCTTCTAAGGTCTGTCCTATATATATATGTGATGTATAATATAATAAAAGGTATACAAGATTGTTTGCAATATTAAATACTTAGGTTTTACTGTACTAAAGTAAAACACATTTTAAATGTAAAATATAATTTGTAAAATATTTACCAGTTTTTAACAAGGGATTCTTGTTTGTTTCTATAGTTTATACTTCTGTATATATTATTTTTATATTTTAATAATTAGATATTAGAGTATAAGGATTTTAAAATGCATTTGTTTTATTATTACTAATTTTTATCATTTACAATGTTTCTTGAAATGCCACACAAAATATCTTTACACGTCAAAAATGTAAGAACAATATTCCCACTAATGTTGTGACTATTAAGTTAAGTTTTGTTTTAGATTTTGTTTAGTTGAAAGTTTGTTTCGTGTTGTAATTCATTTGAAGTCATCTTGAGGCCTACATAGTGGGTATTACACTATATGTATCTCATTACGAAATAAATGTTTGTTTTTCTTTTAGGCTTTCTCACCATGTCTCAACTAATTTCTGCAATTCTCCAGCTGTGATCCTTTGGCCACTCAAAGACACTCACACGACCTCTTCCAGGCAAGTTCGTAACATCTCCATTTGATTGAAATGTCATAATCATTGCCCTGAAGGTGGAAATAGCCATGTCTTTACAGCCCCTTTCTATTTTTTATTTTATTAGTTTTTTTAGTTTTTTGAATCTCTGCACATCAGAACTAAATTATTTGGTTTTACTCACGGATTAACATATATGGGAGAAAAACATTTATTTTGTAATGTGATTTTCTCCCACTTTCAGTTGTTTTACTTAAATGTAACATTGGATTATTGTGAAGATCAAAAGGATAAACAATGCATATTTATTTCCACAGCCTTCTTTACTCATATTTACCAAGGGGACTAATAATTCTGACCTCAACTGTATATCCACCATATTATACAAAATATAAAATATTCTTTAGGTCAAGATACCTAATGAAAAAAAAAAAAGAGAGCGCTCCCATGAACAGCACATTTATTCACCATTCAGCAGATAGCTTTCTATCTCTGTCCAAGCAATATAGATTCTGTTAGCATATACTCTTTCTATAGTACAATAATCATTTACACAAATATACACAATTTAAAATATAAACTTGTTCCAAAGTACAACATACTGTTTTTTTGTTTTGTTTTTTTTCACGACGTAGCGTTTTATTGAGGCAGTCCACACAATTTATTTTCTATGGTGGGTGAAGAGCACAGGCAACAGTTAAGCGGACACAATCGGCACAAACGGAAACAGAGACATGGAAGAGGATTCCTTGAGGATGGCCTACAGTACAGCTGGGCTGGATAAAACTCTTTGGATCATGCACTATCAGGCCTTTCTCTTTGCATTGACCGTGATTGTCGGTTGTTGAAGTTCATTGCTCTGATACGGTAATGTGTGTTCCTCTTAAAGTAACACTATGTTGTTATTGTATGTTTGTATGGCACATTTAAAACAGTCTCAAATCATGTGCACTTGAATGTGTCCATTGTGCAAAACAAATATTTCCTCCACACTGAACCCAAGTGCATAATGTAATGATCAAATAAAAGTGTACGAGCGCACTCTCATTCGAACACATTCACACGCACACCGTAAGACAACATGCTTGTATGCATGCATGTTAACATTTCTGCTTCTCTCTCTCTCTCTCTCACTCATATGGAAGCTTTTCCACCACAAAAGTAAATAAATAAATAGTGATTTTAATTCAACAAAAAAAAAATTTCTTCCAATTGCGAGTTTATATCACACAATTCAGATTTTTTTGTTCAGATTCTGAGTTTACATCTTGCAATTCTTTTTTTTTCTTCTTCCACGAAATAAAAAGATAATTGTGACTTCCTTGGAATTGCACGTTTATATCTCACAATTCTGACTTTCTCGCAAATCTTCTTTTTTTGGCCACGGAATAAAAACTAAAAAAGTTAATTCCGACTCACAATTGGAAATTTTTTTTTTTTAGAGTTTCTATCTTGAAAATCAAAATTTTTCCTCAAAAGTCTTTTTTACATCATGAAATAAAAATAAAAGTTAATTGTGATTTTATCTCACAATTCTGACCTTTTTCCTCTATTACAAGTGTATATCTCACAAGATATCTTGCTAGTTATCTCACAAAAAATGTTTCTCAGAGCTGTGAATTTATATATCATATCTGAGTTTATATATAGAAAAAAAAAATCGGAATTGTGAGATATAAACAAAACTATGTGATAAAAATATGAATTGTCAGATATTGCATCAGAATTTTAAGAAACATGGTCAGAATTATGAGATAAAAAGTCATAATTACCTTTATTTATTTATTTGATTCCACGGCAGAAATAAACATCCATATCCTCATACACACACACAGCAAAATCATTCTACACCTGTGATATAATCTGCATATTAAAACTGGGTGATCGAGACTGTTTGGACAGTGGGCTTCCAGAGGAGAACGGACTCCTGGGGGACAGGAGATCCTGGCTCCGCGTCGCTCGCCCTAGTCGTTCATCCTGCAAGCTGATGGTTGACAGATAATGTGCCCTGTCTGCACTGAGGCTTCCCAGCGACAGGCTATCTGTAGGTCCCGATGAGCCGTTTAGGCCGGTACAGTCAAGAGACTTGCAAGACGACGTGCTGCTGGTTTTAGGTGGCTCACCAGCGAAGGGAGGGATGTAATGTGGATCCAGAAAGCATCTGGGAGCACTGGGACTCGGGCTGCGACTGCTTTCTACAGTACGGAGGCTGATGGCAGGGGGAGGGGACTGGTGCCGTTGGTGGAGGCTTCGAAGGGCGGCTCTGGTGTCGGCCGAAGTGCTCTCCCTCTGCCTGGCTCCCGGATCTCGGAAAGGTCGAACGCCCGTAATGACCCAGTCTCGTTTCACGCTGCTGGGCTGGCTGCTGCTGGAAGCCCCAGAGGAAAACCCTTCATCTGGGTCAAAAGAGTCCTCTCCACAGCTCACGCCATCGGCATCTAAAACACAGCGAGGGAACAATGAGGCAGAGAAAACAAAGCTGGATTAACTAGATTTGCATTTCCTAGAGGAAATTCCAGCGCTTGCAAGGCAGCAAAAGAATAGTGTTAGGTGAGCTTAGAAGTAAGCTCAGGCTTTTGAATGCATCTCAGTGAAATGCTGCATCGCAGCTGCTTTGACACTCAGCACGCGTCTTGTGTTGATTCTCCTGCACAGCCGACAGAAAACAACATGACACCGTCTTTGAAGTGTAAAGCTGCGGTTACACTAGACTCCATTCGTTCCTTTCACTTCCACTCATACACATGAGAACATGGGAGAAACTCAAGCTCAGGGGGACAATTTTGTTGGTGAACTCTGATGAGATGATTCGCCAATGTTCACACCAATGATTCACACAGTTCTAGGTGTTTATTTTTTCTAAATACTTTTATTCAGTAAGCATGCATTAAACTAAGTTGATCACAATAAAATGCTCACAAAAAAAGCTAATCTTTTGAACATTCTATTCATTAAACAATCCTGAAAAAAAATGTATCATGATTTCCACAAAAATGTTAAGCAGTATGACTTTTTTCAACACTGATAATAATAAATAAATTACATTTTTAAATATATTCAAATATAAACTTAAAAAAAAAATGTATCACATTTATTTCTTAATAACAATAATAGTAATAATGTAATATTTTAAACTAAAAATATTTAATATTACTGCCTTTCCTGTAAAAGAATGTAAAAAAAATACATTCTTGGTGAGCATAAGAGACTTCTCTCAAAAACATTAAAAGAATAAATCCTACCAACCACCAACTTTTGCACAGTAGTGTAAGATATAATGCTACTTTCACCTCAGAGGTTCATAAGCGAGTTTGGTTGGAATAAAATGGATGTGCTGGACAAATATAATTTCCCCTCTCTTTTTCACTTCCCAACAAAGAAAGCAAGCTTTCTAGCATTAATGCAGCGTAAGGAAGAGCAAAGAATGCACATTAGATGTGTAATTGATGCACATGTTCAATAAGTAGTCATTTATGTCAACCTTTAACACTATTTTTCATTAATATTACACAAAATACAATTTTGATCCTATTATTATGAGCAAAAATCATAATAAAGCTTTAACTTGTTGTTATTGGTAATTATGACATGATGGAGGTATTCATGTGCAGTCAATTTGCAAATACAGTACGATCATTCCAACATGACTTGAACACGCCAATCCAAGACCAATCACAATTCTGTATGCAAATATTAAATAATATTTGAAAGAACCTGTACATTGAGTGCTTTGAGCTACATGAACTGCAGAAATTTGTAAAGAAGGAAAAAGAAGAGGAATATCATTCTATCTTGCCTTGCAAGCACTGTAAAAGTATCCTAAAACAAAACTCAAGACAAATAAAAAGGTTAAACACAAATGATCACAATACAACACTAAGGTATGTGGAGACACTAGAAACAAACAGAAGGAAGTTTTCCATGCAATGGGGTTAGTTTAATCTGTAGGCCAATGAACACTTTCTATGACCAAGAAGGGCAGGGCTTGTGCATGGACTGTCTAATGGTGAGATGTTCCTGAGCCCTGCCTACCCCCTTGCAAGGTTAGGTGAATGGTGCACTTTATCCGCCCGTGTGCCACAGGATTGTCTGGTCTCTCCAGCGGGGTGTATCGGTTGGGGGTGATGGAGGCGTAGAATTCAGTCGTGGTTGAGAAATCAAAACAATCTGAGGTGAAGACAGTGAGCGTACTGAACATGATGCTGACAGAGGGAAAATTTCACACACAAAAATGGCCACTTTTTCCTGATGCTTGAATGGAGGGACTGATGAGGATGTTTATGTTCTCATTATGATTTTAGTGATCATGAAAGAAAATAACCAAAATAAAAAGATGAGTATAAAATGAAGATGTTTTGGTCATACTTTCGTTTGGGGAACATTTCTCACTATTAACAATTAACTACGACTAGGTTTAGGTATGAGGTAGAATTAAGAGATTTAAAAATGGTCATGTGGAATCAGCCATTAATATGTGATTTATAAGTACTAATAAACAGCCAATATGTCAGTAATATGCATGCTAATAAGCAACTAGGTAATAGAGAGAGAATTGGTCCCTAAAGTACTACCAAAGTTTTTTGTCTAACTGTGTGTGTGTGTGTGTGTGTGTGTGCATATTTCGCATACCCTCTCGTTTCCAGCGGAGACGACGAATGGAGGCGGTAGTGACAGCTGCCTGTGAGACGCATCTCCCGGCAGGCGTTACTTCCACCTCCAAAAGGTTCCGCGAACCCTCCGGAGGACGGGACGGAAGTGAGCGACTAATTGCATTTGCCACCTGAGGATGAGAGGTCAACGACATCCAGTGAAATATCACATTTCCATTAAGAATTGTTATTTAAATGTTGCTTCATGAAACATGGAGGGCACATTCATGTAGCACAAACCACAATTCCGACTTTACTAGTATAGTGCATTAGAGTCTAAAAGTCTGAGACCACCAGTGAAAACGCTTCAAGACAAAAACATCTGTACAAAGAAATTCAAATCAGTCAGTCTTTGCTTGTTTGATATGAAACTGAAATTTACTTATTTGATTGCTGATTAAGAAATAATGCAGAATCTTTCATATTTCTTCTTCAATTTACAAGTATGTTGTAGTATTTCGTCGCTTTAACTTTTTCAAAGACATTGATTTTTCCATGTTTAAATGAAAAAAAAAGATTTTGTGTCTCAGACATTCAGACCCCACTGTATTTTCCCCAATTGTACTGTAACAAATGACTTTTACCAGTAATGGCTGGGCATGGAGGTCTAGCTGTGCTCGGTAGAGGATGTCATCCAAAGCTTCCCTCCCCAGGTCCCACTGCCCATTATAACTGTTGATGGGAGAGAGTATCATCATGCAGATGAGATCATTAGCACACCACTCTGGAATTAAATATACAAGACATTTCCTTCTCTTAATAATGTAAAAAGAAAATAGCGTTTAATGTTGCTCAGAAATACACACGTTTGAGGGCGATATGATGTTTCTCATGTTTCAAGCTTATTAGATCAAAAACACAGTAATACTGTGAAATATTATTACATACATTTTCTTTTTTAATATATGTTCAAATGACATGTATTCCTGTGATGGCAAAGTGGAATATTCAGCATCATTACTTCAGTCTTCAGTGTCACATGGTCCTTAAGAAATCATTCTAATATGCTGATTTGCTGCTCAACATTTCTTATTGTTATTATTCTAAATGTTGAAACAGTTGTGTTGCTTAATTTCTGTGGAAAACATGATATATATTGTTCTCAAGATGAATAGAAAGCATTTATTTAAAATAGAAAACTTGGTCACACTTTATTTTAAGGTACAATTCTTGCTATTAACAAACCATTAACTATGCTTATTAATAGTTAGTAAGGTAGTTGTTAAGTTTAGGTATTGGGTAGGATTAGGGATGAAGAATATGCATGGTGATCATGCAAAATATGTGCTTTATAAATACTAATAAACAGCAAATATGTTAACAATAGGCCTGCTAATAAGCATGGTAACTTGCATGGCGTGGTAAACAGCAGTCAGCATCTGCACCATAAACTCTGACTCCAGTCGTACACGGTTACACGGCTCCTTCCACGACTTCTGCTGCTGCCGCGGGTAACCGCTCACACACAGTCTGCATATTAACGAGAGAGATTCAGAGAGAATCTTTAATGACATGTTTATTTGGAGGTCTTTATGCTAATGCTGTGACCCGCCACAGAAATCCTTTGCCCTCTCTCTCTCTCCAAATCAATATTCCATTTAATCCATTTACTCATTCCATCTCTGCATGTTCCAGCAAGAAATTTCAGAGAGAGAGTGATAAAAACAGGCCGAGACATTCCCGGATCATTAGCAGAAAAGACAACTCTGGCGCCCCTTACCGTGTGCTCATTCTGCAAACCGATTGGTGGGAGGACGCAGGCATAAAGACCACAGCTGAGTTGTAGCAGAGCATCAGAAAAGACAGCACCTCAAACCTGCAGGAGACACACACATGCTGCTGTTACACAACCCCCCCTCTGACATCTGCATAATTTTACAACGACAAATCAGACAGCGGTACATTATGAGTCAGCGACTGTCGCCATGCATCTAGCCGGTGGAATGGTAATAACAAATCACACTACATCTGCATGGATATTACTGTCATGAAGCTCCAGCAGCGGTTTAATGAAACAAAAATGCTGAGAAATCGTTACAGCCCATTTCAACCTGCAGGAAAACAGTAACAGCTAATTCACGGCAATAAACGGCCCAGCGGGCGATTAATCAGATGCCTAGAAATATTCCACACATCGAACCTACTTCATCCATAAGAAGGAATAAGTACAAAACCTCAGTTTGCCAAAAAACACATTATTTTCCACATAATGTACATTCTATACATCCTCTATACCACGCCTTTCTGAAACGCGTCGATTTTTACAAAGCTCATTGTTCTGAAAAGCGAGGTGTGCTGTGATTGGCCAGCTATCCAGTGCGTTGTGATTGGCTGAATACCTCAAGCGTGTGACAGAAATGTTACGCCCCTTAACATACTATGATGCCGTGTCCCGGCGCGATGAGACAAAACCAATAAAACCCATTATAAACGAGGCATTTGTTGCATCCAGTGGGGACATAATTATGGATTATAATGACTTATACTGTCTCTTTACGCGTTGCGTTGCTTCGCGCCGCGTAAACATAAAACCATGTCTGCATTTGTGATCGGAGAAACGACAAACAACAAGTGCTACTCTACACTGCCCAAAACTCGCATTTGAATCATCAGTGGCAAATCTTTTAAATATGAAAACGTACTTACAGGCTGTGAGTCAGCATTATTTGTCAGAACACCGGCATTGTAGTCTACTCTACCAGGAAACAGTCTTCGTCCTCCGTAAAAAATGCGTTGCTTACATCTGAATATATGGGTTGAACTGTTCTGGAACAGTGTTGTAAATACAACTTAACCACTGATTTCTAGTTGTTTCCTCGTTTGGAAGGCCAAACAAAGTATTTTTGCTGTCACAACGAAACACAGCGTCTCCACGACATGGCGGTGACGGCAACAATACTACAGCGAGAATCAAAGTTACGCCTTCTTTCTTTGTGTGAACATTTGGGCGGTGTTATGCAAATCTTCCCACATCGTGACGTAGACATGTGGGGGCGTGTTAGAACGAGGCGTTTTAGGGGGGCGTCGACGAGTCTTAACTTTTATAAAGAATATCTCTTTGGGTTTGAGACTTTAGTCTTTGCAACTTTAGGGATCTTATCTATTCATGAAGAGCTTGTAACACTCCAAAGAGAAAGGAAAACTTGAAATCGCATCATATGACCCCTTTAAAAAAATCACCTATTTTGTGAGGTTAATGTCTCTCTCTGAGATAGCAGGCCGCTGTACACCACCCGGATGAGGTCATGCTGGTTCAGGGCTCCCTCGGTTAACGCCATGGACCCCAGGCTGGATGGCTGCGGTAAACGTAAGAGCGTTTGGCTTTAGTAATAAATCATTTAGTAATTCGGCTAGTAATTCATGTAATGCTCACAAACAAAAGTTACTGAATATTCATGTCAAATGCTTTTACAGCCTTATAAAATTCAATCGAAACCAGATTACTTAAGGAATGAGCCTTATTTTCATTGGCAGACCGTGTAAACAAGTGTCAGATGGCGTTTATCCTGCTGAAAAAACAACTTAAACCAGTCTAAACTGGTTTGCTTGGTCTATTGGTTAGTTTTGGAGAGGTTTTACAGTAGGTTTAGATTAACAGACTGGCTTGGCAAGACTGGGAGACCATCTTAAACTAGCCCTTATATTATGTTTCGGGTCAATGTGACCCATTTAGATTTTTGAGCAGCTGGAAATACAGGTTAACCAGTGACGTGTTTATTGAAATTTTATAACATTTTCTCAAAGTGTGTACAAAATTTATATTTTGATTATGATGATATATACACACACAACACACAAATACATATAAAACAATATTATAACTATATTTGATTTATATATATATATATATATATATATATATATATATATATATATACACACACATATACAAACAAAAACAATAGTAATAAATATAATATAAATAAATATAAACAATAGTTTTTGTTTTTTGTTAATTATTGTGAATCCAATTAAGGTTAATTTGACCTGACCATAACAACTGTACTATTTTAACCTAATACAAGGTCTAAGTAAAACCAGCAAACCCAATGATTTACTCAGGTTTTGCAGCTCCCAGAACACCCCAGAAATCATCAAAGAAACCATTTTGTAAAACACTAGGTTTTCTAACTTTTTGTAGGTTTGGAGCATTCCTTTCTAGTTTCCTGTACCCTGTGAAATGAAAGCAGATCAGCGTTTTGTGTGCATAATAACAGGATATCATCTTCATTGATCTGACACTGATACCTCTTGTATCTCAGACATCCAATACAGGTCAGATTCAAAAGTGTTTGTATTTTACTTCACCTCTTACCTCATGGTATATTGAAGGCTTGGAGAGAGACGGTATGGTGAATGACAGCAGCTTTCCATTTCCTTTACTGTCCACAATTTCCTGTAACACAAGACGTACATATAGCGTATGCCAACTTTAGATAATGAATTTTAGGAAAATGCAGGTAATGCACAATCACCAATCTCTCACCAGGTTATAGATCCCCAGTAACAGGGCCTCCACGCAGCCATTGCGGTAGCGCTCTCTGCTGGCAGAATGCCGCAAGAACACCCAGATGAGCTCAGGCAGGAACTGCAGAGTAAACCGACGCAAACCTTCCTCTGAGCTCCGGTACAACTCAAACAACTGATGACACACCGGAGCCAGCAGCTAGAGAGGAAGAGACACAAAGAAGACAATGACAAAGTAAAAGAGACAGTACGGGACACAGGAACCGAGAGGAACACTCCTTTACAACATGAATAAAAAAAACACAAGCATAAGGGAAGCAGCATATTTAAGACAAACTATAAAAATTAAACTGATATATTATAATATGATATGAAATTATATGAAATAATATTAAATCAATCAAAATCACATTATATTCCTTTCCTTGCAAATCTTGCGGTCACATTGCTCTTTTTAAGGGACAAATTTTTTTTTCATAATTGAAATATATATATATATATATATATTTTTTTAATGTGTGTATATATATATATATATATATATATATATATATATATATAACATTTATTAAACTAATGCAATTTAAACAACTTGAAAATGCTGACATAATTAAGGTCATGGAGGCATGAAAAATATTAACCAATATTCATATCAGTATTATGTATAAACTATTACGGTATTCATTAACATTTTGAATTTGCTTTTATTCTAACATTTTTGGTTTTCATTTTAATTTCAGACTCAGTTTTAGTCATTTTTATATGCTTTTGTCATTTTTATATATTTTTTAATATTTCTATTTAGCTTTCTTTTTTATTTCAGTTTTAGTCACTTTAGTACTTCAACTTATTTTATTCCAATTAGTTGCAAATGCAAAATTTCTAATTTTAAGTTTTTTAAGCTTAAGTGTTTTATTTAATATTTTATTAAATAAAACTTAATTTTATTTTTAATAGTTTAATTTCAGCATAATTTCAATTAATGAAAAATATTTTTAATAGTTTTCATTTTTCAGTTAATGATAACAACACTAAATACTCTGAATAAATAAATAAAGTCTTATCTCAAATCATGCCTTTTCAAACCACCTCTGAATGCACATATCACCACGTGCTTTCAGAAGGAATCATTACCCAACAAAAGACCCTTTTGACAAGAAAATACCCATAACATTCTTAAATGAAACATAAATCTGGCCTGAAGTGTTTCAAGCGATTCATCATACCTCACTGCTGGGCTGCTCCTGAATAACAGTGTAGAGAGCAGGTACAAGAGCTTTCTTCAGACGCAGGCTGCCAGAATAGCTGCGGATTTGATCGTCAGGTAACATCTAAGGAGGAGAAACCGTGGTTGTCATGACTAAGCAGCCTCAACCTGAATCGGCCTGGAATTGAATTAACTTGGAGACTGAAAATATTCCTCCATTAAGTTCTGAGATTCCAAAACCAAATGTGGTTAATGGGACACTGTGCTCAGATCACTTGGGAAGGGAGGACTTCATTTGAGTGAGCTATATAAAAAAAATGTCATATTAAAGGGGTCATTGGATGCCCATTTTCCACAAGTTGATATGACTCTTTAGGGTCTTAATGAAAAGTCTGTAACATAGTTTGGTTAAAATTTCTCAATGGTAGTGTAAAAAACACCTTTTTTACCCTGTAAAAAACAGCTCTTTTCAGAGCAAGCCGTTTTGTAGCATTTTCCTTTAAATGTTAATGAGCTCTGCTGACCCCGCCCCTCTCTTCTGAGCTGCTCTCAGAGAGAGACTTACTTTACTTTAGCCGCATTCATCGTGAAACTTGCTAATTAGCACATTATTAGGAAAGGCGATTTGCAAAGATTTATTAAAAACCTTATACTCACTTCTTCTGTAGGTTAAGCTGGATCACGAAAGATTCGCGCGAACATAGACGCATTTACGTAGATCGGGGGCGCATTCCCTTCAAAAACAAATGCACTGCATCTTCAGCGGCTCAGATGTCGGGAGTAAATGACGACTGCTATGTTCATTATTACATCCAACAACAGAACACCTCAATCACTTAGGAGTCATTCTTGTCTACATCTGCTCCGGCGGTGAAACAGTGGCGGACTGATGACAGCTCAGCTCACTCAGGGCGGGTCTAAGGTAAGACACCAGTCCAGTCTGTGCTGAAACGCTACTGTCAATCAAACTATCGTGGGCGGGGCCCGTTTTTGTGACGTCACACAGACAGGCATCTGAGATCGGCTCGTTTGAGAAAAGTAAAGATTTTAGTAGATTAAAAAAAAAAACACTGGGTGGATTTTTATCATTATAGGGTGGTTGTGTACACACACTGCCAACACACATTTCAGTTCAAACAACTTGTAAAAGTGCATGTAGCATCCAATGACCCCTTTAAATCCTACAAGGATGTCAAACCTCTCACCTTGAACTCTGAGAGCCATTCCTCCACCACGCCACGCTCTGAGCAGAGCATGGTCCTCTTGAGAGAGAAAATAAGGAAAAGGTGAAGGGGGTAAGAAATTATGTACAGAAAAAAATGTAATAAATGAAGATTATTACCTCTCTTGCACCAAAACCAAAAAATGTCAATATCATTGAATTAAAAAAATTGGCCAGGCAAATTTCTTTTCTCAACAACCATGAAAATATACAGTATTTTGCATTATTCCATGCAATTCAGTTTTATGGCTAGTTTTAATGTCATTTTCTCTGACACAGGTTTTATATACTATTATAAGTTTAGACACACTTGGACTTAATTTATTAATTTAATAGTTAATTTGATCTTTAAAAAACTTTTGGAACTTTTTAAATACTTAAAATAGTTTTATAGACAAATATAAAGTATATCTACAGTACACCATCAGTCAAATGTTTGAGGTCAGTAAGATTTTTAAAGAAATTAATGCTTTTATTTAGTAATGATATATTAAATTGATCAAAAGTGGCCGTTTATAATGTTACAAAAGATTTCTATTCTAATTTTCTATTCATCAAACATCCTGAAAAAAACAGTATCATGGTTTCCACAAAAATATTATGCAGCGCATTGACAATAAAAAAATATATTTATTAGAATGATTTCTAAAGGATCATGTGACACTATTGAGTCATAATATCGCCACTGAGTAATGGTTGTAATGTAATTTCTTATTATTATCAATGTTAACAGTTGTGCTGCATAGTATTTTTGTGGAAACCATGATACTGTTTTTTCAGGATGTTTGATGAATCCTGACATACAGTTTTTCACAGGATTTCTTGATGAATAGAAAGTTCAAAAGAACAACATTTATTTGGAATAACCATATAGGCCAGCATAAACCATCTAAGACCAGATGGGTTTCTTTAGCAAGGTTGAACTTCTTCAAAGAATCCCTGGAAATATACGATTTGATTTTATCCATCATTTGATTTGCTTACCATTTTTGGGTCAATACTACACTTAATTCTTAGTCCTTCAGTTGTGTTATTGAGTGATTTAGATTTATTATTGTTTTAATATGTGCAAATTGGCCTGACCGTTTTAGTGTTCATTTTGGCTCACCTGCCTCAAACACAGCTCAGAAGTGTAGATAAGGAGAGATGTGGCTCAGATTCTCCATGTCTCTTGATCTCCGGTCAAACAGCCTGCAGATAAAAAGAAGACACACATCCCGCTCATAAGAAAACTCCATTAAAGCTCACACACCTGCCAGACACATAAGCATCACGGTTACTACAGCGACTGTTGGCTCATGTTCCAAACTGAGCATTTAATATTGCAAACACACACACAGGTGTTACCCCATTCAGTCCTAATACAGGACGTCTGTGTTTATGCATGTTTGTATGCAGCTCTTAAAATGGCAGGCTCTGCATATGGCAGTGTGTTGTGAGGGGGAGAGTGCTGTGCTCTGATTAGACAGCAGCGCTGTGTTGGGGGTTTGGGAGTGAATCTGAGGTGAACAGAACAGATGCTTTACACACTAAACAAAATCTGCCAACAACCCAAATCCTACTTGTGCTGTCGAGACATGTCCTGAGATAGCCTAGAGGAAGCAGAGGTTACTGCACTTACAGCTAGTGCTATATGCTGTCATTTAAAGCTTTGCATGTATACATGTATATACACACACATAAAGCTCCCAATAATCGAATAAGCTTGGTGTTTGTTACTTTTAAGAAACAGTGTCAAATTCTGTCCATTTTATCATGAAATTCAAATAATTAAGGCTGGGTTTTGACAAATTTCACGATTCGATTCGCATTTACAAGCTTGCGATTAGATTCTATTACCAATTTGATTTGATTCAATAACGATTATTTTGGATATATATATCAGGTACAGTAAATGCCAAATTTTCTCAAGGGAAAACAATGCTGTAAAATTTACATGAGTCAGTTGGTACTATATTACTATAACATTGAAGGTTAAAATTGATTTGTTAAAATTACACTTAATGAAGTTTTTAAAATAATTAAGTTACAATTACATATTAATATTTCTACTTCAATTCGTTTCTGTGAAATATAAACAATGGCAGCTGTCATAAAAACGTGATGGATTTATTCAAACAAATTAAACATTGAAGAATAGTCAAATTTATAATGAATATGTTATATGGTGCATATATTTAGCAAAATGCCCCTCTCTACAGTTTATTTTTCTATTTGATATGAGTTTATGGTCACCAAATATGTTTTTTCTGAGGTAAATGTGACATTACGTGACATTGTTTACAAGCCGTTATATTGACGTCTTTGTGCGGCTGAAACACTGATTGAGCAATTACATGAGACAGGATACGGATCGTAAAGTTGTACTCTTTCTTTTAACTTACCTTCGGATGTTTAGTTATGTTTATTTTGTGCTGAAGCTGGTATTAATGTGGAGGAGATGATCAGTTCACGTGCGCTATGCGCTACTGCATCTGTTGATCAAGGCCCTACAGCGATCTGTCACTCTACATTAAACAGCGCCAAAATGGCATTTATAATGAATATGTTATATGGTGCACATATTTAGCAAAATGCCCCTCTCTACAGTTTATTTTTCTATCTGACTAATGAGTTTATGGTCACGAATATGTTTTTCTGAGATAAATGTGACGTTACATAACATTGTTTACAAGACATTATATTGACGTCTTTGCGCGGCTGAAACACTGATTGAGCGATTACATGAGACAGGATACGGATTGTAACTGTCTTTTAACTTGCCTTTGGATGTTTAGTCATGTTTATTTTGTGCTGAAACTGGTATTAATGTGGAGGAGATGATCACTTCACGTGCGCTATGCGCTGCCGTGTCTGTTGAACTTAGGCGCTACAGAGATCTGTCACTCTACATTAAACAGCGCCAAAATGGCATTTATTGTTTGAATAATGCAATACAATAGAAAGAATTTGAAATCCGAGACTTTGTTTCATATTAAAAGTACCAAAGCACAATGCTTATTCCGATAATTTGGATGGGAAGTGCCCTTCAACGTTCCGTCCATAAAATGAAAACAGGCTAGACTAATCGATTCTTGGGATTTAAAGGTGTCATATGACGTTGCTAAAAAAGAACATTATTTTGTGTACTTTGTGTAATAAAATGGGTTCAAAAAAACATTATTTTCCACATACTGTACATTATTGTTTCTCCTCTATGCCACGCCTTTCTGAAACGCGTCGATTTTTACAAAGCTCATCGTTATGAAAAGCGAGGTGTGCTCTGATTGGCCAGCTATCAGAATCGATTAATATTGAGATATCGATATTTTTTACCCAGCCCTACAAATAATAACTGCCATTTTGACAGTCTTTGATGCGGCATGACAGATGCCTGAATAGGACCCTCGGTTCAAACAGCAGCATGGATGTTTATTTTGTGCTGAAGCTGGTATTAATGTGGAGGAGATGATCAGTTCACGTGCGCTATGCGCTACTGCGTCTGTTGATCAAGGCCCTACAGCGATCTGTCACTCTACATTAAACAGCGCCAAAATGGCATTTATTGTTTGAATAATGCAATACAATAGAAAGAATTTGAAATCCGAGACTTTGTTTCATATTAAAAGTACCAAAGCACAATGCTTATTCCGATAATTTGGATGGGAAGTGCCCTTCAACGTTCCGTCCATAAAATGAAAACAGGCTAGACTAATCGATTCTTGGGATTTAAAGGTGTCATATGACGTTGCTAAAAAAGAACATTATTTTGTGTACTTTGTGTAATAAAATGGGTTCAAAAAAACATTATTTTCCACATACTGTACATTATTGTTTCTCCTCTATGCCACGCCTTTCTGAAACGCGTCGATTTTTACAAAGCTCATCGTTATGAAAAGCGAGGTGTGCTCTGATTGGCCAGCTATCCAGTGCGTTGTGATTGGCCGAATTCCTCAAGCGTGTGATGGAAATGTTACACCCCTTAGCATACTGTGATGCCCTGCGTCTCGGCGCGATGAGACAAAACCAATAAAACCCATTATAAACTAGGCATTTGTTGCATCCAGTGGGGATAATACTTAATTGCATAATTAAGTATTATCCCCATACATCATATGACCCCTTTAAGAATCGATATCGTTCCATAAAAATGAGAATCGATTAATATTGAGATATCGATATTTTTTACCCAGCCCTACAAATAATAACTGCCATTTTGACAGTCTTTGATGCGGCATGACAGATGCCTGAATAGGACCCTCGGTTCAAACAGCAGCATGGAGTGTGAGTGAACGCGATCATCTCTTCCTCTTTACTACTAGTTATAACACTAAATAAACACAAATGAGCATCTCACGTATCATGTAATATCTCAGTGTTTCAACTGTTGAAAGACGTCAATAAACAGCTTGTAAATAATGTCACAATGTCATTGACCAAATCATTCAGCATGCACAGCTCACTAGAAAAAAATTAAAATAAAACCCATTATAAACGAGGCATTTGTTGCATCCAGTGGGGATAATACTTAATTGCATAATTAAGTATTATCCCCATAATACATAATTACTGACTATAAAGACTTATACTGTCTTTTTACGCGTTGCGTTGCATCACGCCGCGTAAACATAAAACCATGTCTGCATTTGTGATCAGAGAAACGACAAACAACAAGCGCTACTCTAAACTGCTCAAAACTCACGTTTGAATCATCAGTGGCAAATCCTTTAAATATGAAAATGTACTTACAGGCTGTGAGTCAGCATTATTTGTCAGCATCATAGACTGTATAGGGTCAGCACGCATGCAGAAGGGGAAACAGGGGAACTGAATTCACGGGAACACCGGCATTGTAGGCTATACTATGAGCATTTCGCTAAATATATTAGCTTATATATTCATAGTTTACTTAACCTGTAGTTAACTCTTAATTATTTAATAAATATGTCATGAAAACAAGTTGTGACAGCCACTGTGTCAATTATTATAGGCCTATTTTAGCAATGAATTGGAGTAGAAACATAATATTAAAATTAGATTTAGCAGTAAATGTAAAGCATGCTCTGTTGTTCATTGTAACCTTTAAGATGATATTAATGTACAAGTAACACACACACACATTTTAAACAAATAATCGTTCCATAAAAATGAGAATCGATTAATATTGAGATATCGATATTTTTTACCCAGCCCTACAAATAATAACTGCCATTTTGACAGTCTTTGATGCGGCATGACAGATGCCTGAATAGGACCCTCGGTTCAAACAGCAGCATGGAGCGTGAGTGAACGCGATCATCTCTTCCTTCCATCTCTAAGACGTCAATAAACAGCTTGTAAATAATGTCACAATGTCATTGACCAAATCATTCAGCATGCACAGCTCACTAGAAAAAAATTGAGCATTTCGCTAAATATATTAGCTTATATATTCATAGTTTACTTAACCTGTAGTTAACTCTTAATTATTTAATAAATATGTCATGAAAACAAGTTGTGACAGCCACTGTGTCAATTATTATAGGCCTATTTTAGCAATGAATTGGAGTAGAAACATAATATTAAAATTAGATTTAGAAGTAAATGTAAAGCATGCTCTGTTGTTCATTGTAACCTTTAAGATGATATTAATGTACAAGTAACACACACACACATTTTAAACAAATCTCTAACAAGAAAATGTATTATTGATTAATTATTATAGTAATTAAACAATTACTGTATTTTAATTACATATTATTTGCAAATTACAATTACATATTATTTGCAAATTAACATTTAACAGTTAAAACTTAAAGTAAAGTAAAACTTTTACAGACTACCAGGAAAACTTGTTTAATTTTTAAATACTTGTTTTACTAACATATTAAATAATTTCATTATTTATCCATTAAGATTATGACCAGTACTGCACATGTGTAACTATATTATTTGTACATATTTTTACATGTGTACAAACATTTGTGGTGAGTAAAAAATGTTAAAGCTTTTGAAAGAAGTCTCTTATGCTCACCAAGGCTGCATATTTTTAAGTTATCAATTTATCAGTAAAACGGTAATACTATGATTATTACAATTTGAAATAACAGTTTTATTTTAATATATTTTAAAATGTAATTTATAACTGTGATGGCAAACCTGAATTTTCAGCATTTATTACATCATTCTAGTTTGCTGATTCGCTGCTCAAGAAACATTTCTTATTATCAATGTTGAAAACACTTGTGCTGCTTATTATTTTGGCTATTTTGATAAATAGAAACTTATAAATTGTTTTATTATAAATGTCTTTGCTGTCACTTTTGATTAACGTGTCCTTGGTGAACACAGTGTACATTTAGTAATTGTAATTTTGTCCTGGATTAACAGTGACCACTTACAGCATACATGCTGTGTAAATTTAAATATACTGTATATATTAAATCAAAAGACGTATTATGCTTAAATGTTTAACAACATGTATAGGCAAATAGATTATAGATATATTATAAAATTAGACTATAGATATATATATAGATCAAATAGATATGCAAGAGCTGGAAAAATACTATAAAATATACAAATACACTTTTCCCTCAAACATAAATTTTAACCTAAAAACGTGATGCCGGAACAAAGGTTCATGGACAAGTTACGTCAACCACTCATTCAGTTTAGAGCCTCCCAAGTCAAAAATGAAAGTTTATCCTGAGGCTCTGAAAAACTTTGACTAAAATATTTGAAAAATGCAGAATGTCTGCAACAAAATAGCTGTCAACGCTCCCCTCACAAGAGACACTCCCCTCTTTACACAGAAGCTGCAAACCTTCAGAATTAAAGCCTTACCTCAAGAAAGGGTAATCTGCCTGACCAAAACCTCTGCTACATCAATGCTACACGGTTAGCGTGCCTGCTCTCTAACCCTTGCCAACGGGTAAGAAGCTTTCAAGATTCAGTGCCAGATAATTAAGTGTATACAGTCCCCCGAAGAGGGATGCACAGCGAGGCCTAAAATAGCCATTGGGAAAAGAGCTTAGTGCAAAGAGACAAGAAGAGGGAAAATGAGAGGTGATTTCACTGAACGGAGATCAAAGCAGTAAGCAGCGGGACGCAACAGAAAGGTCATTGTTAAATAGGTTGTGCAACATACTCCAAGTACTTGGCTGAAACGCACTCCAAACTGTCACAGACACACAATTCACCTGAGCTGACACTCAAAATCTCATCAGATACCCACAGCTCACACGGTTACCATAGTGAGGACAAACATTCAAGTGAAACATATGGACTCGTATACAAAGCATATGCATTCCTAGATGCATGCGTTCAAACACACCAAGAATTATTTTGTTCTGACAGTGTAAGATACATCTCATCACTCTCAATCCTGTCAAATTAGCCAGATGGTGTCTAATCTCGCCCAGGCAAATCTCTGTGCTGCACAGAATACAAGTCCTTGGCAAGGGTCACGATCCAGCTCCTCTGAGATAAAAACAACTCTGTGTCCAAGACAAAAAGACCAATTTGGTTTGATTAAAGAATTACTCTAGGGTTACATCAGTGGCGAATCAGGCCCCAGTGATTGCTGCCATCCTTCCTGTGTCATTTGACTGTGGCAATTTGAAATAACAGTTTTATTTTAATATATTTTAAAATGTAATTTATAACTGTGATGGCAAACCTGAATTTTCAGCATTTATTACATCATTCTAGTTTGCTGATTCGCTGCTCAAGAAACATTTCTTATTATCAATGTTGAAAACACTTGTGCTGCTTATTATTTTGGCTATTTTGATAAATAGAAACTTATAAATTGTTTTATTATAAATGTCTTTGCTTCCTTGGCAAGGGTCACGATCCAGCTCCTCTGAGATAAAAACAACTCTGTGTCCAAGACAAAAAGACCAATTTGGTTTGATTAAAGAATTACTCTAGGGTTACATCAGTGGCGAATCAGGCCCCAGTGATTGCTGCCATCCTTCCTGTGTCATTTGACTGTGGTTTTTCAGTGAACACCGGCTTCCTGCTCTCAACACTGCTGCATCTGTGTTTGGGGGGGGAGGGGGGTGGAAATGCAAACTTCATACTGCTGGTTTATAGGTGTGCCTTTCTGGCATCAAATCACTTCACTTTGTGCATGAGATTTAAAACTGGTGTTATGCCAGAAGTTGGAATAATGCCAATGTGTGTGTGGTGTAAAGGTATCCAGAGAATAGATAATGCATATTGAAAAATACCTTAAAAAGTTAGAAGAGCTAGGCCAAACCATTATGCTAAAACTAAAGAGCGCTTGTTTCTTTAAAATTGTAGCATCTATAAAAACAGATAATATGCTGACAAATATTATATTTATCTATATCTATAAAAAAATAATATGCATTCAGACCTAGTGTGCATCACTTTCTCTGTTGTTAAATTTCTTTTTTTATATTTAGAGCCAGCCAAATCACAAGACTATTAGAATGGATTCAGCTAAATCAATTTATTAATTGTTAAAACACACACACACAAAATAATAGTAATCCTTTTAAACAGAGCGTGACTCAAGGCTGAAAAATATTACATAATTTGTACTCTTATAGGTTAAAAATACAGCACTAAAAGTCAATCAATGTGAGTAAGTGTACAATAAGTGTAAATGTATAGCCAGTGATGTGTATTATTATTTGCAATAAAGTTAACAATCTATTTGTTTATTTTAGTTAACCATTCAAAATAAATACTGAATTCCAAGCACTGTCTGTTAATATTATAAAATTATTTTTATAAAATATAAAAAATATATATTATACAATATTTTATAAGAGCACATAATAACAACCTAATCATCGATCATTTTGCACAAACTTCCAGTAATAATTTTATTTATTTTACGTTTTCTAGAAATAACCTATTTCAAGCCCATCTGTACAACTATCTGGATGTTGCTCGGAACTAATGTTTATTGTAATATACTGAAATAAATATAGAAAAAAAGGGAGTTTGGTTTATATTAAATTTACGGTTGCATTTAAAAGAGAAATAAAGCATGGTTATATTTTTGTGTCCTTCTATCATAATACAAGTCTAAACGTGTTATTCAAATCATCTCTGCAATATATATGACATGTTGTTGTTAACTTTTCAGTGACCATAAATGCAATTTAATAAATATATTTAATAATCATTCGGCCTAAATATAAGCGAATCAGCGTCATCTTCCAACGTATGTGGTTCAAATGCATTAAACATGCTCATCTTTGCTCATACATACAGATTCTATCAATGGTTTGGTTCTGAATTACATACCAGTAGGATCTGGACTCCTCCGGATGCTGCAGATGATCACTAGTCCTTGAGCAACGCTGCAATGCGCCTTAGGACAGACCCGACACAACGACCACTTCTGAGATCAAGCAGAACATTACTTGTACAATCCCACCGGACCATTACTATTTATATCAAGGAATCGATGGGTTAAAAAGGCCTTGCGTTTGTCAGACCGAAAGGATCACAGCCGTGTTGACATCATCATGTATCTCCGCTCTCTAGCTCTTCCTGCCAACTTGCAGCTATTTACCTGACCAATTGAGTCTCTCAGATCGAGCCCTCGCCGCGGCTGGCCAATAGCTGCGCAGTGCGGTGAGTGGTGAGCTGAGCGGTGATCACCGTGCTGCGCCGCTATTGGCCAGTCGCGTCGGGCTCGATCTGAGAGACTCAATTGGTCAGGTGAATAGGTGACCCGTGCTGGGTTAAGACAGGTGACACGCGTAATCGATCTCAGTAAAAATGCACTCAGGGAAGTGCAGTGGACTTCGAGTTCCTATGTTTGCGATTCTCTTGGGTGAAAAGGGTCATGTAACTATAGCAAATAGTCTGGGTGCTGTTGCACTGGATTTTCCATGAGGAATGGGAATCTTTCACGAACTGTGGACGAGATCATGGGATTTGTATCGTGAACTTCAGATCTATCGATCTATAATTTATTATTTTAAAATTATATTTCAAGTTCAATTAAAATTAAATTTAAGGTAAATAGCCATTGTTGACACAATATCTTATTATGCATAATTTCCAATAAATGCAAATTATGCAAAAATTGTGTTCAGTTGTGTATAGCAAAAAGTGCCCATAGCTGAAACATCCATTAAATAAATAAATAAATAAAAAGAGCTTCTGTTTTTTAAACAATGCTACTGTGGTAAATGGTTTTATTACAGACGGAGGTACATGTTGTTAATATCTCATAAAAATTCAGAACTTCAGATCTTTCCAAAACTGTTTTCAAGCACTGCATGCGAGTTCAGTCAGATACAAAAAAGAAAATCGCATTCTTTTCATAGTCCTTCCTAAGTGTAAAGAGAATGTTAGTGTTTTAACTGATGAAAGAAGCAGAGAAAAAAGATTTCTTTTTAAAGAAGATTGCAAATTTTAAGTCCAGTGTGAGCCTTCCAGTTTACATAAAAGCTGCATCACTAAAATATTACATTTTCAATAATGCATCTCAAGGAAAGAACTGCAATGCCTCCAACCCACTTGGATCCTGATGAAAATACTCTTAAGGTGGGCTCCTAATAGTCACCTGCCTATTAGAACAGCAAATCCACAGTTTTTACAAGTCCGAAACATTTTCATCCACAGTCCCCAGCTGTACCAGCGGAGTCCCTCTGATAAAGATTGTTACCAGCCTCGGGTGGGTTTCCAGGTGTCTATAATCTTCCCTTTAGAACGGACAAAATAAACTGGATGCATCATAGCTGTAGCACAAGCCTGTCAACAAAACATACAAGCCTGCTCTTAAATTTAAATAAATTCATTTCATTGTATTAAAATGTGTCATGTTAAGTTATCATTAAAAAAACAGAAGGGAAAAAAAAGGTAAATGCAACTGCCAACATTGGCAGTTGAAATGACAAGCCCTCATGTTAAATACGGGCTCATTGCATTGAGGATGAACAAAGTTTGTGCTGAATACAACACTTTTTGTGCAGCGAATTGTTGGATATTTTTTCCAATTCAGCCCAAGTTAATAATGTTTTGTAGTATTGGAAGTATGCACTTTAACATTGTTGTTTACTCTTGTTCAATAAACAGTTTTAGTACCATGTTAATGTCCAAATTTGTGACCTGAAGGAAAACAGTCAAAGACTTCTGATGTACAAGCAATGGCTTAGTCAGATGGAGAATGTCCTTTCATACAGATGAATACAGTGTGTTTCTGTGAGCTTTGTTTGAGGGAGATGGTTAGTAACTCACATGGTAAGGCATGAGTGTGAGGAGTGACCCCAGTGGGAACTGCTTGAAGTCCAGTTTTCCAGAGATGGGCTCCACCCTGCCGTGTTCCTGAGTCATAGACAGGAGTCTGCAAAACAGACGACACCCTTCATGCTATTTATATCATCTGACTCACAAAACCTCCTACTCGCACTGTTGTGATGTAAAATAAACATCTAAACATGTACACAGAGAAGGATTATCCAATCTCAGTTTTTAATATTTGAGAATGGATTTGATGCTAAAATATTTATTCTCACATGAATCACATTTTGATTGTCAGTTCAAATCACTTAAATTCTATGCAGACAGATGACTTAATGGAAACATAGGTACGCAATATGAAAATGTAGACCAGTAAGTTGATAGTTATATTTATGTTGCGGCTAATAACTGATAAATGGCTGATATTAAAAAATATAAAACACTAAAAACTACAATCAGTCATTTTATATACTAAAAATAAATGTAAATATTTTAATTAGGGCTGTCAGATTAATGCATTAACTTAATTAATTAGTTATGAAAAATAACGTGATTAAAATATTTTAACGCAGTTAAAGCACTGGCCTGTATGCCCCTTACATTTCTTATACTTGACTGTTGACAAATATGATGCAGGGCAACAACTCCATTAATGCAGTTATGCCCTAAAATCCAAGATATTGGGGCAAAAATGCTCCTGTATGAGCATTTGTCTCATATTTATATCATATGATAAGCGATATCACACCAGCAAAGAGAGCAATATCACAGGAGAACACGAGTGCATGTGATTTTATACAACAGTTCAGTAAATAAGAAGTTAATATTGTGCTATATTTTAAACACAATAGTGCGTGTTCTTGTTCAATTTTCCCAATGAAAATATGACCTAAAAAGCCACAGCAGAACTGGGGTGTATTCCAGAAAGCACGGTTAACTTACCGTCAGCTAAACCCTGAACTTTCGGTTGATTAACCCCAAACCTTGCTTACTCGAGGTATGTGGTTCCAAAAACACGTCCGGGAGTAAGTTCATTCAACTCAGAGTATGTTCCTGGTTAAGACTCAAGACATTCTCAACAGTGATGAATCGACGATTCGCTATGGAAACGGAGGCTAAGAAAAAGCACGCCATGCTGTTTCTTTCTTCTTCTTTTGTTCAATGGTTGTTTACATGCTTAGTGCATATATCCATCTAATTGATGGTTGTGCAATCATTTTTAATTAATCGCAGCACCCTGTAATTAATTAGATTAAAAATGTTAATCGACTGACAACCCTAGTATTAATGTTTTTGAAGTATTTTATGCTCACCAAGACTGCATTTATTTAATCAATAATAGATCAATTTCAGATCAACAATAAAAACAATAATAGGGTGAAATATCATTACAATTTAAAATAACTGTTTTCTATTGTAATGTATATTCAAATGTAATTTATTTCTGTAATGCAAAGCTGAATTTTTAGCATCATTACTCTAGTCTTCAGTGTCACATGATCCTTCAGAAATCTTCAGATTTGGTGCTCAAGAAACATTTCATACTATTATCAGAGTTCATCTTGATTTTCAGCTTAATGCACATTTTTGTGTATAATGTGATACATTTAGGATAAATAAAAGGTTCAAAAGAACAGCATTTATTTTAAATATATCTTTTTAATTTTATTTCTTTGTTGTTACTTTTGAACAACTTAATGCATTTTTGCTGAAAAAAGCATTAATTTAAATAAAAATAATTATAGTCTTACTGACCCCAAACCTTTGAACAATGTAAATGTAACAGTATAAATGTAAAAATAAGAGAAATAGCGCTCCACTTTATCAAATGGCAGAGGGTATGCATACAGTATATCATCATAGCCGTTATCAGCATAGAATGATGCCTCAGCTAGAGTAGACACAACAATACAACGACGAGAGCCTCCTGTCATGATGTCCGCACATTCCCTGAAGACAGATAACATTAATGAGGAAAGAAACAATGGTAATAACATGACACGATTTTTACTTTGAGGTTAATATTCCTTTGCCCTAATCCTTTGTTTTCTTTTTACAGTACATAAATGGCCCTTGGTTTGATATTTTGTTATATAATAAAAAATTCAAAAGTGCCTTAAATGCCCAAATATTTACTAGTTACATTACTAGTGAAACAGTTAATGTCAGAATCATTCTGAAAATCATTACAGTTAATGATGACAGAAATTTTATTTTGTGGTGAAATGTTCCTTTGAATAAATATTTTTACATTTTGCATCTATTGTTTGATCATTTAAAACTTCTTGTTGTGAAATGTCTTGCTTAAAAGTGTGTGTTTTTAATAAAAGCCACTGGGTTTGATATTTTGTTATATAATATATTCAAAAAAAATTTGACAGAACTATTATAATTACTAGTTTAAAAAAAAAGATAAACCTGAAGGAAAAAATCAATCCAAATACTTTTCAGTTTTCATTCTTAACAGTACTGTAAATTATGTGTTATTTAAAAGTTTAAACTTGTCAAATGTTTTGCTTTAGAAGTGTGTGTGTGTGTGTGTGTGTGTGTGTTGGGGGGGGGTATTTTCCCCCAAACAAATGTCACTAGGTTTGTTACATAATAAACCTGTAAAAAAAAAATAATAATAAATTTTGGTAGACAGCCAGTGAAAATGACTAGTGAAGAAGACTAACGTGATAAGGGTATTAATAAAAGTATCTCGCAAACAAAATGTTCAAGAGGTTGGTGTTGTTGAGAGCGTCTCACAGTGTTTTGTGTGTTTTCATGTGAGGTCGGAGCTGGACCCCTAGTTTGTGGAAGCGCTCCAGCATGCCTTCAGCGTTTCTTCTCGCTTTATCCTGGTCAATGATCAGCGCTGGAGTACAAAGGTCTTTGATGAATTCAACAGCAGCCATAATCGAAAAACTAAAAGAAATCAAATATAATAACAACACGTTTAAGCGAAATGGAAACCTGCAGAGCTGTAAAAAGTTGCAGACTGTGTAGTTAATAAATGCAAGTTAACTATAAAATTTACTTCCAGTTTTAAATACATTAAAAAAAAGAATCCAGTAAACACGAGCTTGATTTATGGTCAAAGTAACTCGTGTCAAATAGTTATGATAAACTGAGGATAAACTAATAATAGCAGCTTTTCTTTCACTTACCATAAAGCAGCGGGGCGTGTGAAGCCAGAATCAGAAGCACAGCGACACAAGACTTCTTCTTCTTCTTGTACGATTTTATGGCGGTTGACAAGCCAACTTATGGTGTATTACCGCCACCAACTGGACTGGAGTGTGAAGCGTTAAC